CCCTTCCAAAACCTCAACAAGACATGGATATGACTTCTTAAATAATTGCTTTAGCCTTAGAACACTTTAAACATAATTTTTGAGGGATTTATATGAGTTTACGGCCTAGACTTGTGTTTGGGCCGTAAAATCCTTAAAACATGGTGTAAAATCAATTTCAAGGTGTTAGAAAGCCATCCAACACCACCAAAAGCCTTGGAATAAATCATAGGACCAACCAAAACAGTTTAAGGACCTTAAACACATCAAAACCCCACATTTGAGAGTTTACGGCCATAGAACATGCCCCACGGCCGTAAACTCCTAAAAGAGTGTCAATTGGTGCCCCAAACTCATTTCTAGGCTTGTGGGAATTTTTAGAATCACATGTGATTAATTTTGAGACCTTAAAAACACTTATTCAAGAGGATATGAGAGTTTACGGCCATAGACCCCATGCTTAGGCCGTAAACTCCCTTAAGTGTTGTATTTGATGATTTTAATTCAATCCAAGCCTTAGTTAAAATTATTCCAAGCATTTCCAAGTGTCCATATCCATTTGTGAGCCATTAAACACCATAAACCACCCCTCCATGAGTTTACGGCCGTAAACTCATGGGGAATGGGTGTTTAGGCCGTAAAACCATTTGGGAGTTTACTCTTGGGGAGTAAACTCAAATCCCAAGTCCCTCGCCTCAATTTCCGTCCGTAGATGTCACCCGGGTCACTCCAAATACCCGTTTTGAGGTGTTTTCGTTCGTTGGAGTGTATCTTCATATCTAATTAGAGATTGTAAATCTTATTAGATATATTGTATGCCATTTCATTTTACTTAGGAACCTCGCGTGTTATCAGGCCTCGATTCGACGTTTAGCATCCGAAATTGACACATATCCGCGTCCGGTGAGTTCATACCCCTATGCCCTTTTCCGTGTTTTTTTTCAATGTTTTTAGGGGGGAATACAAGCAAACTATAACTGTTTTCAAAACCTAACCTTGATGTGTTTTAAATAATATTTAGCAAATTTATAAATACTTTTACTCCTTATGTATTATGCTGAGCATAAGGAATGATTTATCAATTACAACTAAATGGATTTTAGTTAAGAAAATAACCAAACTAATCAAATTATTATGGGAATAATTTGGGGTTCTTTATTGTTCGTTTTATCATGTTCTAATGTGTATATAAAGTTATTAGATAAACTATGTCTGATTCAGTTTATCTCTGTATTATTTGAATGTATTGTCAGATAGTTTCATTGTACGTATCTATATTCGCTATATTACGTTTCATAATCTTTTGTATGTTGATATCATATGAGAACCCTGTGAATAGTTTAGTACTAGTTTGTGAGATAGTCACTACCCTTTATGGATGATCAGTAAACCCTCCCCGGGACTGACAATCCCACACCTTAACTGTTAGCTACAGTTAGGCGGGCACGCCTGGAGTGACAAATTTCTGGATATCATTCGATGTCTGACAAGCGTCAAGGAGGTCTCGTTGTCGTATTAGCATGTTTACCCGACTCACAATATGTATTAATATAAGTCTATTCACAATATCGTTTTGACTTTGTTTCGATTTTGTATCTACTTTTTATATGGTATCTATAACTTGTACGGGATGTTTGCCCCTTGGTTTTTAACTATATCTTATACGGGATAGTAATCCCATGGTTTTAAATCTATATTTGGTACGGGATGGTAATCCCATGGTTTTAAATCTATATTTGGTACGGGATGGTAATCCCATGGTTTTAAATCTATATTTGGTACGGGATGGTAATCCCATGGTTTTAAATCTATATTTGGTACGGGATAGTAATCCCATAGTTTTAAATCTATATTTGGTACGGGATAGTAATCCCATGGTTTAAATCTATATTTGGTACGGGATGGTAATCCCATGGTTTGAATCTATAATTAGTATTGAGTGACACTCCTATAGCTTTAAATCTACATCTATCTATAGTTTTGTGTATATCAAACTGTCTTATATTTGGTACGGGATAGTAATCCCATGAATTTTTAGTAAATAGTTTTATGAGTTAAACTTTACAATGTGATCTTAAAAACTAAAACTTTACTTTTAGGAAAATATGGGATTTTCCTGGGTTAGTGAATACGCATATCTAGTATCGTGTGAGTAATCAGTTAACTAATAACTACTTATAAGAAAATATGGGATTTTCTTGGGTCGTAACCTTTTCAGAATTTAAAAGGAATCTTGCACATTTTCATAAAAACAAACCGCTTATGAACTCACCAGCTCTTTGCTGATTTTCAAACTACTTGTATTCTCAGGGTCTTCTTAGACAGGTATCCCTGCGTTCTGTTGCTGAAGATTGAGCGAATGGAAGTCACGTCTTTCTTTTGTATAAACTATGTAACTATGAAACTTGTACTACTTTACTTTTCAACTGATGTAATGATATCTATGTAATGTAATGTAATGTTTTGTGTTTTACTTCGCTTACTATGTGCATTGGATTTGATACTCAACGTGGAGTCCACCCCGGAAATGTTTCCGCCTTCGGTTTTTGGGGTGTGACAGTAAGACAAGAGCTGAAGATCCCAAATTATTCCCATAATAATTTGATTAGTTTTATTGTTTCCTTTACCGTAGTTGAAATCCATGTCATTCGATTTGATAAAACATCCCTTATACTCCGCATAATACATAAGGGTAAAGATATCTAAAAGTTTGCCAGATATTTATAGAATTTCATTAGTTTTAGGTTTCAAAAACATTCATAGTTTGCTTGTATTCCCCCCACCCCCCCCCCCCCCCCCGGAAAAACATTGAAAACATGGAAAAAAAGGCGTAGGGGTATGAACTCACCAGTTGAGAAACGAGTCGGTTTGGATGCTAAGCGTCAGTTCGGGGCTTCATTACACATGAGGTTCCTATGTAATATGAAATGATACATAATTGTATCTAATTAGACTTTGAATCACTAATTGGATAGGAGTAAACACTTCTAGACACGAAAACACTTCAGTTCAAGTGTTTGGAGTGACCCGGGTAGCATCTATGGATGTGTATGGCTTGGATATGGGGTTTACTCCCCAAGACTAAACTCCTTTAGGAGTTTACGGTCCAAATGACCAACTCCCCATGAGTTTACGGCCGTAAATTCATGGTGGTGGTATTCTTGGTTTCTAAATAGCCTTATAACACTTGAAGGTTGATGCTAGACTTGGTTTTAAGGCCTTTGAATGAGATTTGAACATCTTAAGGACCATTTGAGGAGTTTACGACAGTAAACTATGAGTTTACGGCCGTAAAATCTTGTGTGCCATGATTTAATGTGTTTTAATGGTCCTAGGTCAATTACAATGCACATGGGAAGGTTCTAGGGTTGATTCCATGGCTTACGAAGTGATTGGGACTTGAATTGACCTTGGAAAAGTAGTTTACGGTCTATGAAGATGTTCTTGGGAGTTTACTACCTTAAACACATGAGTTTACAATCGTAAACTCGTGTTTGTCCATGATTCATGGGTTTTAGTGGTTGTATGTTAAGCATAAAAAGTTCTAGGTCCAATTCCAAGCCATACAAGTGTTAAAGGCACTTTAACACCCATTGGAGGAGTTTATGGTCTAAGGAGATGTGTTTATGGTCCAAGAATGTTGTTGGGCTATAAACTCAAGTTTGTCCCATTTGAATATGTTTTGGTGCATTTCTTGAAGGATTGTAAGGTCCTATGCACTCGTGGAAGTTAATGGAAACTTTTGGAGGTGTCTAAGGGCAATTTAACACCTTAAAAAGGTGTTTTTTTTTGGGAAAGAGGCCGAAGCCCCGGCAAAGATTAAAAAGGTGTTTATGGTCTAAGAAGGTGGGTTTACGGTCCAAGCATGTTCTTGGGCCATAAACTCATGTTTACCCCCTAAATGGTAAGATTTTGGTGCTCTAAGTCCATTCTTGCAAGTCCAAAGGTCTTAACTAAGCACTAGAAGTGATTTGGAGGGGTTTTGGGGCTTCAAAACCCTCTTTAGAGGAGTTCACGATTTTGGGAGGGTTCCTGATACATGTGTGGAAGTGACAAATTTTGAAAATGATAATGGTTACAATGTGGACTTAGGAAGAGACTATGGAATGCATGCTACCTTTAATGTGGGAGATCTTTCACCTTATCTTGATGATGATGGCCTTGAGGAATTGATGTTAATTCCATTCAAAGGGGGAGGGGATGATCCATGCATGGATCATGAAAGTCCAATAGGTGATGGATTAGTGATTACTAGTGGGCTAGATGGTGGTTTGGGTTCAATGGTTGGGTTGTGCATGGTAACCCACAAATTGAATTAGGGTTGCATGAAGGCTAAGGCAACATTTTTAAGGCTTCATAAGTGCTAAAAACGTTACTTTTTTACTTCATAAAGCCTCCTAGCCGTTTTTATCACTCTTTGGTGGATTAGGGTTACACTTTAATGCTTCTGATGGCTAATTAATGCTTCTTATGGCTCCTTAATGAAGCATAGACGTTTTTTCTTCATCCTCAAGTGTCTTGGATGTTTTTTTGTTATTTCAAGAGTTTCCTTAATTTTCATTTACTAGTTTTAATGAATAATTGGTTGGTTGGCTTGTAACCACCAAGTTTGTAATAAAGGCTTCATATAAAGCCAAGTTTATGCATGGGAAAGATGATAGACGAACTTTTAAGAAAAAAACCTTTGTTCAATTGGAATTATTGTTATAATTCACAAATTATCTTGTTAGGACGTGTTCTTGACTTGATACGAACTCAATCCAATAGGTCTTGGATTGTTTTCACCGGTATACAACTTAATAGGTCTTGAGTTGTTACTAATCTATCCATTTGTTTCCATTCACATATCATTTTGTGGGTGTTATTCTCTCTTAATTTACCTAAACACTACCTTACTCATTAAATCAAGCCCATACACGTATCATAAGTGGTATCAGAGACTAGTTTCGATTGGGTGTAAATGAGTTCCTATTCAAAAAAAAATTATGCTAAGTTTGTTTGAATTCAGTTGTTATCCAAAAATGTTGCGCAAGATATATGATGAAGAAGAGGAGGAAGAAGATTTTGGTCCCATCTACGACACCGATGGAGAAGGAGAATTTTGTGAAAGAATAAGTTTCTTGGTTGAAGAGGAATTTATTGAAGAATTTGAAGAAGAAACTAATTTTGTGATCGGAGATGAAATTGTTGAAACAATTGTGAAAGAAATCGATTTTGTTGTTACAAACAAAATTGTTGAAGAAAAGGTTGAAGAATTTTAAGAGGTGGAGCAAGTTCTTGACCACGAAGATGCGGTTGTGGTTAAGAAGGATGATGATACCCCTCTTATAACGAACCATCTTTGTAAGAACCTAGAAAAAGGTGTGACTCATCAAGTTCCAAGTTCCAAGCAGTTACGAGGGAGGGAGTTCATAATACTTGGATTCCTATTCTTGTGGTGTACTTTCAGTTGGGAAGCCATGTTATTGGAACATGTTGTTCATCAACCCACAAGTACAAACCATGATCTATTATTTCATATGACCATTGTTAATCCTTTAAATTATTTCAAGGATAACTTTCTAGGTTCTAAACTTGTTCATGGGATTGTACGAAAGTGGTTTTTGATCCACAAATGGAAGATATGGTTAGAATTTAATTTGGCGAGTTCTTTTAGTTATTTGAAGAACATGTGTATGTGGAGAAGAGACCAAATTGGAGTAAAGAAAATGTCACATTCTGCAATAAAAATATGTTTTCAAGACCTGTTGTCTTGGAAGGTTTGTATGGGAGAACAACAAAATTTGGTTCTTACTGAACTGAGGACAATTCCTTTCGAAGAAGGAGGGAATGATACATGTGTGGAAGTGACAAATTTTGAAAATGATAATGGTTACAATGTGGACTTAGGAGGAGACCATGGAATGCATGCTACCTTTAATGTTGGAGATCTTTCACCTTATCTTGATGATGATGGCCTTGATGAATTGAGGTTAATTCCTTTTGAAGGGGGAGGGGATGATCCATGCATGGATCATGAAAGCCCAATAGGTGATGGATTAGTGATTACTAGTGGGCTAGATGGTGGTTTGGGTTCAATGGTTGGGTTGTGCATGGTAACCCACAAATTGAATTAGGGTTGCATGAAGGCTTGGGCAACATTTTTAAGGCTTCATAAGTGCTAAAAACGTTACTTTTTTACTTCATAAAGCCCCCTAGCCGTTTTTATCACTCTTTGGTGGATTAGGGTTACACAGTTTAATGCTTATGATGGCTCATTAATGCTTCTTATGGCTCCTTAATGAAGCATAGACGTTTTTTCTTCATCCTCAAGTGTCTTGGATGTTTTTTTTTTGTTATTTCAAGAGTTTCCTTAATTTTCATTTACTAGTTTTAATGAATAATTGGTTGGTTGGCTTGTAACCACCAAGTTTGTAATATAGGCTTCATATAAAGCCAAGTTTATGCATGGGAAAGACGATAGACGAATTTTTAAGAAAAAAACCTTTGTTCAATTGGAATTATTGTTATAATTCACAAATTATCTTGTTAGGACGTGTTCTTGACTTGATACGAACTCAATCCAATAGGTCTTGGATTGTTTTCACCGGTATACAACTTAATAGGTCTTGAGTTGTTACTAATCTATCCATTTCTTTCCATTCACATATCATTTATGGTTGTTATTCTCTCTTAATTTACCTAAACACTACCTTACTCATCAAATCAAGCCCGTACACGTATCAGTTCTCAAACCGTAAACACATGTTTATGGGTGTTTTGATTAGTTTGAACACAAATTTTAATGTTAAACAAGCTTAGAAACATGCTAGGATAGATTTCTTACTAAAACATGCTAGGATAGTTGTCCACTCCACCTTTATATAGGGGTTGAGTTTGAGACCCGATGGAATTCTATCCGATACTGACGTAAAACGGGGCTTTTGGTCGTACCCGATTAAGTTACTGTAATTATGACTTAGATGAAACTAAATATTTTCCAAATGAAAATAAAAAATATTTTAATGTTTTAAAATGTATCCCAACACTTTTAAAACCTAAATAGAAGTCGCAATAAATTAATTTAAAACAAAGCTAACGGAAAATTTGGAACGTAACGACTTTATTAACGGAAACGGGTTATAGTGACGGAATAAATCACAGTTTGTCACAAAACATCTCCTATAGCTTGGATTAAATGTCTAGAACCTTGTATTCCTTCATTTGAAGCACCAAACCATGCAAAAATGAGCCAAACATGAGTTTACGGCTGTAAACTCATGTGTTTACGGCAGTAAACTCACCAAGGGTCATTCATAAACTGTAAACTTCATTTCCAAGGTCATTTCAAGTTCCAACCACTTCCTAAGCCTTTGATTCAACCCTAGAACCTTCCCTTGTGCAATATGAGACCTTTGAACACCCAAAAACACCCCACCCATGAGTTTACGGCAGTAAACTCATGGGGATGTGGTCTTTGGGCCGTAAACACCCCTAAGGGATTACACTTGAAGAGTAAACTCCTTAACGAAGCCATACACTCCTTAGATGCAACCCGTATCATTCCTAACACTTAAAGTAAAGTGTTTCCACGCATTAGAGTGTATTTACTTGCTTATTTAGTGATTAAATAGCTAATTAGATACAATTATGTATCACTTCATGTTACATAGGACCATCGCGTGTGTTCACGTCCTAAATTGACACCTAGCATCCTACCTGGCACACCCACGTCAGGTGAGTTCATACCCCTACACTTTTTTCTGAGTTTTTCATGTTTACAGGTGGAATACAAGCAAAAGTACAAGGGAACTTGTACTCAAAACTTATTATTTCATATGAAATACTTACATGTTCAACATGTTTTTAACACAGAAAACCGATTTACCAACCGATTAAGAAATTAACTTGTAGAGTTAGTTTTCAAAACTAAAACAAGGAAACTTGTGAATCTCATCATAAAATGTTATATTTTATAGTTTACAAAGGATTCACGCCAATCATAAAACGGAATT